AGAGATAAAATTCAAGAGTTAAGACTTTGAGCAAGGCCAGGACCTTCCGCACGTAGGCCAAAAAAATGGCCTAGATAAGAAGATGAATCTTGTCTTTTTCCTAAACTGGCTAATGGGCAACTATTACAAGCATTCAGACTATTACATTCAATATGACACTACCCCAGCCAGTGTCTGATCTTGGGGACAAGCCTGGCAACGGCTGCTTCTCCCCCTCCAGGTACACCCTGGCTGGGGTCCCTACAGGCCAGGGTAGGGGTTTAAACTGCTCCGCAATCATAACTAGCCAATGCGGGGGCCTGGCCATACCCCTCAGGTCAGCTTCCCTCCAGCCTTGCGACTGCTGAGGGGGAAAAAAGGGGAGGGCTGTTCTAGTGCCCCACAGCTTCTAGCTTGAGCCACTGCAGGCATGTGCCTTCATTTCTGGAATCAAAAGTTCACTTGTAAATTGGTTCAAATTTTGCAGGTTAGACCAAGGGCTTTCAACCTTTTTAAATAAGCGGACCCCCAGCAGCCCCCTTTTTAGTAAGTGGACCCCTGAGGGGAGGGGGTGGTGGCAGCCCTGCTCACGCCCCACCCTGGCCTTGCTCCTGTAAAGCAGTGGCATGGGGTCGTGGCGCTCTGCCCCCGCATACTTCTGGGGGTACTTTGAAAGGTCCCATGGCATATGCATACCCCTGGTTGACAACCCCTGGCCCTGCTCCATTAACATGCAAAAATTGAATCAATTCAGCCTCCAGCTTTTTTCATGTCTGTCTCTAGCCTAGGGGGTCACCTAGTCCAACCTCCTTCACCATGCAGAATTTGTTGTTCTTAAGCCATCCTTGATATATGCCTATCTAGCCCCTTCTTGTTTTCAAAACAAGGGAAGTTCCATAGCTTTTCTAGGGAGCTTGTTCCATTGCCCTATTCTTTCCTCTGTTAGGAAGCCTTTTTTTTTTTTTTTTTTTTTTTTGCATTTGATTTAATTCTATTGTGCTGTAGTTTCAATCCATTTATTCTTCTCCAGCCCACTGTGGTATGGAACAGCAGCATTTCTACATCTTTATGGCAGCCATTCAATTATTTGGAAACTATCATGTGACCTGTTAATCCCCGTTTCTCCAAAATAGATTAAGCTAGTTTTTCAGCCTTTTTTAATGTAGCATGCATTCACGTGACTTTGTCATCTTTATCACTTGCCTCTGGATCTTCTCTAGTTTTCATAAATGCTTCTTAAACTGCAGTGTCCTAAGTGTAACATGGGACTTCAGCTGAAGCCTAGCCAATGCTAAGTAGAGTGGTGCTGTCACTTCCTGAGTCTCTTGCATACAATGATCTGTTAATTGATTTGTGATAGCATCACATTATTGACTTGTGTTGAATTTGTGATCCACCATATGCCACAAATCCTTTCTGGCAGTGCTGTTGCCATGCCCAATTATCTACCATTCTGTGTGTTTTTTTTTTTTTTTTTTTTTTTCTAATACTGTACATTTGTGTTTGTTTAATTGTGTCTTGCGGTACCTAACGTGTTTTGTACCCTGTCACAAGTTTTGTTGTTGATCAGTATACTTGCTGTTTTTGTAGTCGAGTCATTAATGACTGTTGAACAGTACCGAACCTAAAACAGATCCTTGTGGAATAGAAATAAAGGCCATCTGCCGATCTTATTTAACCATTGATAGTATTGCTTGCTTGCAATTCTTCTCTTAGTCTTAAAGGAGGCGTGTGTGTGTATACAGGTGAAAGAAGGAAGACATTCTTTAGTTAACATTGTGGTAAACGTTGTCTGCTATTTGCAGTGTCTTTTATATACTTCAGCTATTACATTATTTGAGAATATGCACATTCAATGCACGTGCCTTTCAGAGAGCTTGGAAATCTCTTTAAGATTCACTTTTTTCCCCTCAACACTTTTCCTTTGTAGATTACAATACATTTCAGTTTTGAGTAACATCTTGTTCATTTGAGCAGAATAATTTATATGGTAAGGCCTGGTCTTGTTTTTCTGTTTACTGCTGATGTAAGAACTCCCTTTGGAAAGCTCGTTTCAGTTGCTTTGTTATTGTCTGTGTACTAACGAAGCACACATTTATTTCTCTTGATCCCAGTGTTTTTTTCCTTCACCATTTTCTTTTCTAATCCTTAAATATCTTGTGGAGATTTGTAGCATCTTTTGCTGTCTTATGAAGCGGTGTCTTAGCTTGTGCCATGTACTTCCTTTTTCCAAAATAAATCAAACTAGGATACAACTAGCATTGTTTGTCCCATTAATGCAAATGATCGGATTCACGGCTTTGAAAATGTGTCCAGCATGGTAATACTTTACCAGGGAGAAATTTGAGACCTGGTTGATTAAAACTTGCTTTCTATTTGGGAAAAAAAAAAAAAGAGGGGGTGGGGCACAGGGGTGTTCAGAAGGGAATAAATTTTAATAAATATTTTATGATGTTGAATATAGTGTTGTGACACTATAAAAGCTCCAAAAAAGTGTGGCATTATTTCTTGCAATGAATTACTTTTCAGGAAGGAACAAAAGTGCATATTTTCAGGATTCTGTTTTTCTTTTTTGGAAATGTTTTGATTACAAAGAAATCAAATTATTGTCGCGAGTTAACAGGTCTAATATTTCTTTTATATTCTTTAGTATAACATTCACTTCAATGCTGCATAAATGACATGTAACACCAACTTACATTTTCCATTTAAAATGCTTTTGCTTAAGGACTTTGAGCATAAATTCGAAACAAAGTTGTTTGTTTTTCCATTTATTTTGCTATAATTTGTGTCTGATTAACAGACAATAAACTTCAATGATTACAGTGAAACTCTTGATAATTTGGAATGCTTGGGCTTCTCCCCTTCTTCTCCTGCCCTTCCCCCAGTATCTCATTGGCTGATTTTTGTGACCATGGTGGTGGTGATTTAATCCCATTAGTGGACGGTAAAAATTATGGCAGTCTAATATTAATTGGGTGAATTTAATTTAGCAGAAGTAAGAAGGACTAACAGTGTACTAGTTTTTAGCTCCAAAACTGGTTGCAGGGGAAGCCAAATATTTTGGTTTTTAAATTGATACTTTTAAACCTATTAAAGATGAATTGTTATATAATGACCAAAAGTAATATAAGTGTAGGGGGGGAAATTAAGATAGAATGTGTTATCTTTATCTTTGTTTCCCTGTTCCTGGCCACTTAGTATTTCTCTTATCTCTGTGGTTTTTCTTGCTCTGTATGGGAAACTTCAATAAAACTAACTTGGTGTTTTAAACAGATTTCCTGTCTCGTTGCTGGAGAGCAGGAGGAATTTTGTGTAATCCAGGGGGGCACGGAATAATATTGTGTTTCATGCCAAGACTGTGTTTTAAAGCAGGGGTTGTCAGCCAGGGATATGCGCAGGCAGGCAGGGACAGAGTGCTGCCACGCACCATCCTGCACTGCTGCGCAGGCGCTGCCCACCCAGCCGGACATGGGGGGGCAGGGAAAGCTTGCACGTGGCAGCTGCTGCTGCTCTGTCTTCGTCCGCCAGGGGTACACTGCTCTGTGTCCAGCCACTGGGGGTACGCTGATCCAAAAAGGTTGAAAACCCCTGTCTTAAAGTGTTACAGAAACCAGAACGCTGCCATGTTGATATGGTTAGTCTAGCATTGATGACTGTACACTTTGCTACTTAGCATTCGTGTAAATGAAGATGGTGTGTTCATCCCTTTTAGGGTAGTTTCTATAGACAGCCAATATTTTGAACTCAGTATTGGCAATACAGATATTGCAATTTTTGTGCTTCACTCTTTACAGTACTAGAATGGCATTTGTTTCTTAATGATTTAAATTGCAAAACTTTAAAATGAAATTTTAATATGTAAACTACAGGCATCACTCCAAAACTTACAGAATCAGAAAGATTTCCTCACATTACTAATGAGTTGTTTTTATTTAGTCTTATACCTTCTTAAAAATGTTGTCTCTGTTTGGTCTGACAGGCCTCAAGGGCCTTTAACTGCCTTGACTAAAAAAAAGTAAAAACATGCATTTGATTTGATTTGCTTTTTGCTAATTGGCAGTTGAAGTATAGGTAACCGCTTGAGCAATGGAATATGAGATTCCATCCCTACCTCAATCAGGAGGGAAGTATATATTGGCATGGAGGCATCTGATCATTGATCCTATGACCCCAGCTGACTTCCTGCCCTTTGGGCGGAGGGCTGGACTCGATGATCTTCCGAGGTCCCTTCCAGCCCTGATGTCTATGAATCTATGAATCTGAGAAGCTTGCCCAGCTGCTGTCCTGCCAGCTAACAGAGGACTATGTTTACCAGGGATGCATACATTTAAAAAAAAAAAAAGATAAATATTTGTTTCTGTAGAAATTACTTCAATAAATGTCACATGGCGAGTTTCACAAAGCTTGTCAGGCATGCAGACTTCAGATAGATTTACAATTGGACCAAATTATCTGCCCTTGAGGTGTGCGTAAATTAAGGGCAAGGTATGACCTTGCTTTTTAGGTAAACTAGGAATGACGATCTCTCATCTTACCCCCTCTTCTGTTGTTGTTTGATGTGATTCTCTTTCTGAATTTATTCCAAAAACAGCTTAATTTTCACAGTGAGGAAACAATCTGGGAAGCTTCCATGACATTGTCTAAACCCTGTTTTAAACAAATGACTAATTTCTTGCTCAGTATTTACAAGAAAAAAATTGTCTTTTTGTTTGTGTTGGCATAAAATGTCATGAAAAGAGAGGAAATGGGAATATACATTTCAAGCAGAAAATTGAAAGCTTGGGGAGGGGACTTAAATGCATACATGCAGTAATCACTTTTAGTTTTTTAATCCTTTATGCAATCATTCCTGTTGATTCCGGATCATTTGTGGGTTCAGCAAACACGATGTAAAATCAAGTGGAAGTATCTCTTTGGGCCAGGAAGCGTTAGGACGGAGGAAGTTTTGAAGGAAGTCTAGTAGAAGGCATTGTTTTAGGAGTATTTTTAAGGCAACCTTCTGTGTGTGCTTCTTCTAGATAGTAAGAAAACCAAACCTCAGAGAAGTTGAAGGAATAAAGTCTTGAAAAAATAAGTGGACATTGGCCCTACTGAAATCAGAGTAGGGATGCAACCTCTTCATGAGTGAAATTAGGTATGTGATGTTAAATTTTTAGGTTTGTTTTGTTTTAATTTCCTTCCTTACTGCACCTATAACTCAGCCATGTGCTTGTTTTGACTAAATACTGCTATCTTAGTCTTTGTATTCACAATGTTTTTCATTTGGAATTTGTATTTATACAGATTTGTACAAATGTATATACATAGTTTTATTTGTAATGTTATGAAACCAAAACTAAAGCCTTGGACAAATATGAAGTTTGGAACTTGGATTGTTAGAAGTTTGTATATACCTGGAACTTTAAAGTGTCTGTCAGCAGAGATGAAATGGTATAAAAAGAACATCTTCACTATCCAAGAGGTAAGATTGTCTGAATAAGGGGATGTTAGGCCAGGAAACAAATGACTAATTTGTTTCCTCCAGCGTGGTGTGCGGCGTGGGGAGCAAGGCTTGGGGCCAGGCCGGGCCAAGTGCTGGCGCTGGTGGCGCTGGGCTGCGCCGTGTGGGCTGGGGCTGCCTTAGGGCTTTGGAGCTGGGCCACCCGCCTGGTGACGCTGCACCCCGCAACTAGCGAGCATCTTTTGCACCACTGTTCTGTGGTGCAAAAGATGCTCATAATATGGGTACAGAGGTTATAGTGGAGAACAAATATCTAACTTCAGTCAAGAAGGTAGAGTTGGTAAACGAAAGATGCTTGCAGTTGAGAGAGAGAGAGAGAGAGAGAGAGTGTGTGATATCTGCTTGGTCAATTGTCTATGCCCCTGCAAAGGATGAATGCAAAGACATGAACTTTATGAAAAACTAAAGCAGTCTGTGAAAAGTTACAGAAGGGAAAACAGTGGCAGTGGGAAGGGATCAGGTGGCCCCTCCACATGCTTGCACCCCCCGCTTTTTTTCACTCTATAGCTTTTCTGCTGCTGCGCAGCCCCCCCCCCCCCGTTACTGTCTGGCACTGCTCAGGCTCTGTTCCGTGCTATGTCACAGACCACAGCATGTGGAAGCATGATCTGTGCTGTGCTTGACAGTTGCGGGGTGGGGGGGGAAGCTATGCTGTCTGACAGTAGCTGGGGAGGGGGGGAATGAAGGGGCAGGGACTGAAGCCACAGAGGACAAGTATAGGATGGGGCAGGAGGCTGTTGTGGGTCTGACTCTGGCCCCAACCCAGGCTCAGGGCCAGAAAAGACTTGTCTTGAGTAAGATAAGATTTCAGAGAATGAAATATGCAGCATATCACAAGAACTAGTGAGAGGATGCATGAGACACAGATTTTGGAAGTTGAGGTGGGGGGTAGCAGACCTCAAGGCAATAATAACATAAAAACTGATCCAGAAGGGATAGACCAAGATGGAAGTGGAAGGAGGTTTCACAAGATAGGAGAAGATGGAAGGTTGTAGTTAAGGTGGTTATAGGCTTCTGACGGCTGAGAAATCAGAGAGTCTTTATTTTTATTTGCACTTTAATTAGTATGACTTGTTTGTTGGTCATTAGGTTTAAGTGTAGATACCAGTTGTTTTACTAGAGAGAGTTTTATGACGACTAGAACACACAATGCTAGACTTCAACATAACCACTATTTTCTTCTCACAGCTGATACGGACTTCAATTTTGCTAGCCATAGGACACAGTTTGCCTTCTTGTCTACAGTATCAATTTTTCATGTGTCAAAGGATCTTAAATAAGAATAAATTCATTATTACTTATGAAGTCTAGCATTATGTACACTAGTTGTCCTAAAACTTTAATAAATTTGCCCTTAAATGCTGTTTACAAATTGTTTCTATTATACCTGCAACCTAAGTTGTTAAAGTTTAACAGTGCACAAGGACTTTATGAAGACCCTGTATATATAATTACAGTGTGTGTGTGTGTGTCTGTGCTAAAGCAACAGAAAACAGCTTTTATTTACCCTGGAAGAAGTATTGATATAATATAATTTGCATGAAGTGTGAAACAACAGAGGCTATTGAGGATAAGAGCCTACCCCAGAGATGAGCTGTTTTACTTGGATCTGCCTCAGTATGTGGAGACTAACCCAGGAGCCCTGCAGGCAGGGTACACTTGGCCAGGCAGATGGGATGGGGCCATGGGCAGGTGGGGCCAGTGCAGGGACTGTGATCATGAGTCGGTGACAGTGCAAGGCTGGGGGGGCCCTGGGGCAGAGCTGCAATCTGCTCCCCTCACATCCCTCTGATGGGCGCCAGTTGTACAGGCAGGGGGGGACTCAGCCCTGTGCTTTTCAGCACTCTGTGATCCTTGTCCCCAGGCTCAGCCCTGGTCCCTGCCCAACCCACCCATTTCACTCCCAGACGCTAGTCCCCACCTGCTCGCAGCCCCATCTCTTCTGCCCAGCTGTGTGCACCCTGCCCATGGGGTCCTGGTCTGGTCTCCCTGGAGACCCCTCCTGCCTGCTTTGCCTGGTGTGCAGGGTGGACAGGCCAGGGCACCCAGAAAAGTGCAGCCAGGGCCAGCAGTGACTCAGTGGCAGCTGGCAGGAGCTGCCGCTGCCAGGAAGCAGTCTGGCTGCTATGCCAATCCAACCCTGTTGTGCACCCAGGGGCAGCAGGATGGGCTGCATGCTCCATGGCACAAACCAAGGGATTCATAGATGTTTGGGTTGGAAGGGACCTTAGTAGATCATGGAGTCCAACCCCCTGCCATGGGCAGGAGAGAGCACTGGGATCAGACGACCCTAGCCAGGTGTATGTCCAGCCTCCTCTTCAGAACCCCCAAGGTAGGGGAGAACAACACCTCCCTTGCAAGCCTTCCCTTGAAGCCAGGTTCTGGCAGCCCTTGCAGACAAAAACAATATCTTAAATCATGACAAATTACAGTTCGGTGTACCGGTTTGATAAGGTCATCACTGCAGGCTGGATAGAATCCCATGGCAGATCGGATCCGGCCTGTGGGCCATATTTTGCCCACTCCTGCTGTAGCACCTGAATTGAAATCATACTCAAGGTCTTGGTTCTTATCTTCAGAATGCTTATTGTCTTGCTCCCACAATTTCTAAAAGGATAACTATAAAGGGTCAAGGTAATTTTAAATGTGGATTAAGTAGCTGCTTGGTTTGCTTGCCTGGCTGTTATGCATACATGTTTAATTACTTACAAGAATAATTCAGTATGCAAATGGTGCAGTACACCAAGGATCTTTTAAAAATATGGTATCAGCAAAGTAAAGACTTCTTAAAGGCTTTTTCCCCCAAAGGAAGGATAAATAGGACAAAAATACAGCTAATAGATTGAATAGTCTATTTTTAAGACATCTGGGGAAGTAGTATAGGCTTAGCCAATAGGCCACTCCTTTGTTAAACGACATGGATTCTGTCTTGCCTTGGACATACTGTGACATCTCCATACTGCCCAAGAACATCAGCTGGAGCTTAGGACATCCCTTTTTTCTTAGCCTGTGGAACAAAGCAAGTATTCCCTTGTTTTGTGATCTGTAAATTAAAAGCACTGTTTGAAAGTCATACATCAGTTTTTCGTAGTTTCAAGGCATGTTAGCATTCAACTTTATTATCAAATACACTGAGGAAAAAGCAGTTGGAAAAAAGCCTTTAAAAACTGAGATCTTCAGAAAACATGGGTTCCATGAAGGTAGAAAGAAGTAAGATCCAAATTTAAAAACAAAAACAAATTATAGTAAAATGTTTTTATTATTTCTACTTTTAATATTGCTTTTATTATCAATCCCTTTTTAATATTGCTTGTAAATATTGCTAATGTCTTTCTATGACCAGGTAACTAACCATCTGGACAAGGGACACGAGGTTGATGTCACTTGCTTAGAATTCAGTAAAGCCTTTTGATTCTGTTTTCCACAGGATACTCTCAATCAAACTGGAGGGTACTGGACTGAACCAGTCTACAGTGAGGTGGGTGGAAAACTGGCTTAGAGGCTGGGATGGCCTCATCCTGGAGGGCCATCTTCAGTGGTGTCCCCCAGGGATCGGTGCTTGGACCCATGCTTTTTAACATATATTTAGTAATGACTTGGATGAGGGTGTGGGAAGCTCAACGATTAAGTTTGCGGATGACACCAAGCTGTGGGGAAATGCTGGTGCATCAGAGGATAGGGTAAGGATCCAGGATGACCTTGACAAACTGGTTCTATGGGCTGAACAGAATCAGATGAAGTTTAACAGGGAGAAGTGCAGGGTTCTTCATCTGGGTAGGAAGAACCTACACCATAACTACACTACGGGTGGTGGTCCACTGGCTGGCACAGCATCTGAGTGAGACCTGGGGGTTACAATCGATCAGAAGATGAACATGAGCCAACAGTGTGATAGGGTTGCCAGCAGGGCAAATAGAACTCTGGTGTGCATCAGCTGATATGTTGCCAATAGATCCAGGGAAGTGCTCCTCCCTCTCTACTTGGCACTGGTGAGCCCTCAGCTGGAGTACTGTATGTCCACTTCTGGGCACTGCACTTCAAGAAGGACATGGATAAGCTCGAGAGGGTACAAAGAAAGGTCACCTGCATGGCCAAGGGCATGGAGGATAGGCCCAAAGAGAAGAGATTCCAGTAACTGGGCCTGTTCAGTCTGAGTAAGAGAAGGCTTGAGAGGTGACTTGATAGCTGCCTACGAGTACATCAGAGATGAGCACCAAGATCTAGGGGAGCAACTCCTTCGGGAAGGAACCTCAAGGGAGGACAAGGACCAATGGGCCTAAGCTGATAGAAGGTAAATTCAGGCTGGACATAAGAAAAAACATTTTCTCTGTAAGGGTCACCAGAATTCGGAACACACTCCCGGCAGAGGTGGTACAGTCACCATCCTTGGAGGTGTTCAAGATGAGGCTGGACAAGCATCTTGCTGAGCTCATATGAGCCCAATAACTTTTTGCCCATGGCAGGGGACTGGACTCGATGATCTTACAGATCCTTTCCAGTCCTTCAATTCTACGATTCTAGAAAATACAAATATTTGCCAGATTCAACATTTAGCATTCAACTGAACAATTACTGTACACATTAAACATAAATTTTAGTATTTTATATAGAAATTGGTTGATGGGTAGATCTTA